CGCGCCTATGTTGTTTTTTTTTTTTGTCTGTTTTGTGTCGTTCAAATCTGTAAGGAAACAGATTTTTGTGGTTGGAACGTATCCTGCTGTAGCTCTATAGATAAAATACAGTATTAGAGAACAGTCTTATATAAGATCTGAGGTACTCAAGATATATTAAAAAGTAACTAAGACTATTGCAATTTCGTCCTTCAAAATTTATTACAGCTATTATTTATACTTAGCACTTATATTTCATTATATTTAACATTGTTATTTAGTAATTTAAATCTGAGTGGCACCTTATGCGACATATGGGTTAAACAGCTACTTAAGAGAAACCCTAAGCTATCCATAATTTAGAACTACAATCCAGAGGAAGGGTAAACAGTCAGCAGTACCCACCGCCTGTGTGTTGACTCTTAACTGAATAACTGGGTTAACTGTCACAGGTATATCGCCCCAAAAACTGAAGGTGCGGAGTGTATTTAACGAAATATTGCAGTTCGAACCTTGGACCTTCTAATATGTAACTAGATCAGCCCGGACCTAATTAAAGCAAACACATCTTATATTCTTGTGACAAATAATATTGTAATAGTTTTATATCAGACTAGGTCACGCCAGGCCTCAAAGGCAAAGATAAGCACAAGAAAGCAAAATGTTGAAAATCATAAATAAAGGAGTAACTGTATTTTGTTCAATATCTTTATTAGTTAATACAAGTACTAGAAATGAGATCTAAATTTCTTACACTTTTGAATATTTAACATTAACAGTTTTTGTAAAAGGAAAATCAGATAAAACACACTCTTTCACAACTAATACAAGACAATACAAATGTTATATCATCTTTCCAGAGAAACGAAACAGAAAGGAAATATTTCCACAAGCCCCACAGCGGTATGTCTGCGGACTTACAACGCTAGCAACCGGGTTTCGATACCCGTGATGGGCAGAGCATAGATAGCCCATTGTGGAGCTTTGTGCTTAACTTCAAACAAACAAACAAAATTTTCCACAAGCAGCGACAGGTCACCTTGAAGAAGCAATTCGGGAAAAATCACTCCTGTGATAATGTCATTACTGGTAAAGATGACATCAGTAATAATGCAAAGATGGAAGAATAAAACATGGAGCCAAAAATACAGGAAAGTTGTATGCTTATTATTATTATTTACTTAATAGAAAAGTTAATACTCGTTTCATTAAAATTGGTTACCGTCTGAGTGACGCTGGACTCTTCAACTACTACAGGCACATGGAAGTAGAAAATCTTTATAACTACCAGGCTCGTACGCAGAATGTTTGAAAGGGGGAGGTCCTAATTTCTGAGATCAAAAGCCAACACATACTGTGCTAATGTTATTGGGGTGTGGGGGCATGCGACTATTTCAAGCCAAAAAATGCTAATGTTTCGTCAGAAGAATGTAGACTATGTAGAAAACGTTAAATACCACAAGCAGTTGCGCTGTAACTATATAAGCATATTTTTTTACATCACAAAAATAGATAATTCGGCCAAATCCCCCTCAAAGCCCCCCCCCCCCCATGCGTACGTGAGTGTATCTACCCTACAATATCCGTAGTGGCTACGTAAGTTTAATATTCTTTTCTGTTTGCTACTACACATTTTATGTGGAGGGCATTTTACTTTTTTGAAGGATTTTATGATTTTGCTCACTATTCCTTGTGTCAAAACTGTAAATATAAATATTGGCAGTTAGAACTCAGCTGTCTCATCAACACAGGAACATTAACAAGAATTCGAGTTATTCGCTCCGAGCAAAATCACACATCCATCCACGCATACGTCGACTTTCCTCGTCTAGAGAAGAAGAAAAAAAAATCTTCCCGGAGAACAAGCTTAAGTTTTAGGTTATATCAATTTTAAAGCATGAAATATGCACGTGCAAGTACATATGTATACACAGGCATATATATGTACTTATGTAGGTTATATATATTCGAAATAATTTTGGTTATAGAAATTAGGCCTACTTCAATGATAATCATCTGCTAATGAAAAGTAGGTTCGGAAGCTTGATACCATCGTCAAATGATAAGCCAACACAAAATTTATGACTGTTTTGAATTTCGCGCAAAGCTACACGAGGGCTATCTGCTCTAGCCGTCCCTAATTTAGCAGTGTAAGACTAGAGGGAAGGCAGCTAGTCATCACCACCCACTGCCAACTCTTGGGATACTCTTTTACCAACGAATAGTGGGATAGACCGTCACATTATAACGCCCCCACGGCTAAAAGGGCGAGCATGTTTGGTGTGACGGGGATTCCGAACCCGCGACCCACAGATTGCAAGTCGAGCACCCTAACCACCTGGCCACGCCGGGCCATTGAATCAGTGCTATAGTTCCTGAAGTTTACTTGAATCAGGGTTATAGTTCCTAAAGTTTAGTTTGAATCAGTGTTACAGTTCATAAAATTTACTTTGAGTCAGTGTTACTTTAATGCAACAAGTTCAAAATGATAAAGATATTTTTTCATTGTTATACATATTTCATACTTTTAAGTCAAAAAAGTTAAAATCTAAGACCAGTTCATTAGAAGTGCAATCTTCCGAAAATCTGGCTGGAGGTTCACTGATTTCAGCAATCTTTACATCTTAAAATGTATTTCATATTTTTTCAGCAAGAATCATCCATACGTCATTTTTTCCAACTTTCATAGTCACCCTTTTCCTTAACCATCTTCATAAACAATAGAGTGCCGAAGCGATGACATCATTTTTATGTCACACCTTTCCCACTGGTTCTAAACAAACACCAAATGTTCATTCAGGTAACAGTGAAACAGCATGGCTGTGATGAGCATATCAGCAATTGCTGTTTATTTTGATTCTGAATCAAAGTCAATCAAGATGGGAAAAAAATCACTACCAGTCAAGACATATGGAGAATTTTCAGTATGCAGAAGGTGTTCTAAAAGGCTCTGTGCACACAAGTATAAAGAACAAGATGTATAATGTTAAAGTCAGTAAAGGGCATATACTTTTAGGCCAAACTAATAAGTATTACGTTCATTGTCCAGAACAAGAAGTTTTGCATAAACTTGTTCTAGGTATGCTATTTGATGAATGGGTAATTAATGTTATTTAATGGGTAAATGTTGATCCCATATTGTATGATGAGAATATAAAAATAAATACTCAGTGATTTCGACTTCAAAAATGCAAACAAAACGAACCACCATAGTAAACGACAATAGACAAAGCAGTCATGTGTAAATATAACAAACATGTTATTTACTATCTTGTTTTTGATATTTCAGGCACACCTGACAGATGGAGAAATCAGTTCTTCTAGGTGTGAATGTCCACGTGGTGCATATAAATGTAGCCAGTATATAATCTTAGCAAAACAGAAAATAAGATACAGATAAACAGATAGTAAGATATATTACTTTCAACACCATCAAAGCAATAATAATAATACAATTACTATTATTATTGATAATTACAATGAATAATTTTCTGCTTAATTCCAACATGTACTATAATAACCCAAAAATAATTTATTCATAATATAAAAAATTATTATTTTGAAAAAATGTCTTCAAAATTTACCTATTATATTCTAAATTCATTATTCCTTGAAATGAAAAAATAAACTTATCCAACACATTACATTTTTTTTCTTTGCTCGGAATAATCTATCAAACATATCTGTTATTAAATGAATAATTTATTCACAAACAGTAGAAATTGGTAATATATCACCAAACCGTGAAATTGTTTAACTTATTCGAGAATGAATAAACACACTCAAATAAAACCTCTGATGCAACATCAATTCTATTTATTAATTAATTATTATTATTATTGCACTTGATCCTTTATGAAGCGGGAGAAGGGAAGAAACTCGTATAAGACTGAAATATTGATTGTCATACATGTGTTTGCAAAGGCATTATCCTAGGCCTAGATTTATTAATAATGCTGAATGAAATAACCCTACTTCATATTGAGAAAAGTTCAGTAGACAGGGAAAAGTGTGAAACCTTATATTGCCTTAGTTTGGCCTGTCATGCCTTTGGTAAACATGATGGAGACAGATTCATGACTCGTTTGGATACAAGCATATGACTACAGGTGAAATTTAACCTTATTAATTTAATCCTTCTTTTCCTTTCTTTTTCTTCTTTGTGGAATATAAAAATTGAATACCATTCTCACTCTGACTGATGATTGCACCTAGGCACAAAAAACTGCACCATTTTAATGCATTTGTACCTATGAAGCCAACCACACTTAGCTTGTTTAGAACCAGTGTGCATATTGATATGGTAACGTGACATCGCACTTCGGTACTCTTTAGACATTTTGGTTACATTTACCATAAATTCTCTTATTCTAAGGAGATGTGTGACTGGCTACTTTATTACAAAATAAACAAACTAATGCTACTACACATCTCATTTTAAGTCATGTTCTTTATTGTTGTATGGTCTTGATATACTTTACACCAGTTTTGAGCATTTTATTCACTCTTACAAGAAATTTTATTCTAACAAGATGTACAATCAGCTGCTTCATGATAGAACACACATGGATGCTGCTTTATATCTAAATGTAACTTATGTCCTTCATTGTTGTCTAGTCTAAGTGTACTTTATGCTAGCAGACTATTGTGCAATTTTTACAATCAGCAAAACTTGTTATCTTAGTTTCTTATGGTGGGTTATTTTGTATGGTCAAGAAAAATATATTTCTTTAATAAATAATTCTAAGTTCAATGAAACTTTCTTAAGATGTACAGACTTAAATAATGTCAAAACACAGAAATCTGTGGATATCTAAAAAACATGAGATGGAAATGTTTTTATTTCAATATGATTTTTTTTTATAATAATCCATTTTTATTTAGTTGAACTCATCCACACACTGACCCTCAAACTAATCACTAAGCTGTTGGGGGATTTCTAGATTAGCAACTGTGAACTTTGGATGATAGTAATTACTTGATCAGAAAGGAATTAAGACCAATAGACTCCTTTATCCTTGAATTACCACTGGAGGTGTAGTTTATGGACCCTATAAGTTGTTTCAACATTTTATTTTTAACTATTTAGGCACAAAACTACTTGTGAGTTCATTACATTGTGGGTTGGAGGGCCCCCAAAAAGAGGGTTCACACACACAAAATATGTAAACAAAAATACTATCAATATTTCTTTTAATCTTACTAAAACTGTTTGCTATCAATAATAGTACAAATTCTAATATTTCTATATTGTACAAGTACCTTCACTTGAATCCAGCTAAGTCGAGATGTAGTTTCTCTATCTAAAGTAAACACTATGGCATTAACAGTCCCTGGAAAACAAAGAAATTTATTAAAGAATATCACAAAGAAAGCAGGGATAAAATATCCTCTCAAAATCCATAATTTCAATATGATCAACAGATAAAAAAAATAATAATTAAATCACTGATGAAATTATATTTAAATCAGTAGTTTCACAATGATATACTTTAGTATTTAAATAAACACAAAGGTTGATTATGCTACATTCAGAAATATTACAAACCTCACCTTGTGTCTACAGTAGCAACATTCATATTCTTTTAAATAAGTATACTTAATGTATGATGAAACAGAAAGTTAAAATAAAATTACCCACAAACCTACGATCTGCAAAACAATATCATATATATTAGTTAACAAAATGAATGAAAGAGGCATGACCTCACAACTTGAAAGACAAAAAAAAGCATCTGAAAGTGGGTTATTATGCTTAAAAATTGGAGAAGTTGTTTTCATGAAAACAGAGAATACATATATTATAAAGAACAATTCAAATTTGACTTATAAAACCAAGTTATAGTTTTGCTACATCAAATGCTGTGGCTAACTTGTAACTACACAATCTACACAAATTAGGTAACAAAAAACAACCATATTTTAAACAATTCTTATCTTTATAGTATAATATTTTATTCACATATTAATTTCAAAAGAAACACATATACCTTCCATATGATATGCTCTACAATTTCTGGTGTCTTGAAAAGTTCCTCAGTTAAAACAATGTTTCTGGTTTCACTCTGAACATGACTAAGGGCCTCAAAAAAAAAAGTTCAGTAATATTTGTGTTTGCATTAATTTGTCTACATAGTTATTATACTTTTAAAGGAGGCCCTTAGATATGATAACTTCTAAAACCATTAAAAAAAATAGTTCCTCATTTTTTGAGTTGACTTCCAGATAACACTTAGTTTTAAACTGATTAAAGCTTAACAAAAATTTCATATTGTGAACAGGTATTATTCTTAATCTGAAGGTAGTTAGCCAAAACGTTTTAACTTAGGAATGCTTTATAACAAATTTTTTTACAAAGTTTATATTTTCCATAGGGCTTATAAAATATTAAAAATATAACAAACAACATATTGTATAGATTTCCCTTATATATTTTTGAGAATTAAAAACAGTTAATATGAACAAAAACTGTATCCTTAATAAAAATCATCTTACTGTTCACTGGTTAATAACAGTATATTTCTTGAATAGTTTGTTTATTTGTGTGTTTTTAAGCACAAAGCTACATAATGGACTATCTGTGCTGTTTTGCACCCTCAAACTTACTGCTGAGCCAATGGAGGCTTTCGAGTGACTATGAACTTTGTATGATAGTCAGGTAACTCATATTACTTTATGAGAAAAGAATTAAGACAAACATACTTCTTTAACCTTGTGTTACCAACATAGGTCACTTTATGGAACCTATATGTTGTTTAAACACCTTTTTTTTTAACTATTTATGCACCAAACTACTTGTGAGTCCATGACTTTGTTGGACAGAGAGCCTTAAAAGAGGGCCACATAAAAACATTTAAACAAAAATACCATCAACCTTTCATTAACCTTCTTAATTACTGTTGGGGGTCCCTTATGTGTTTCAGACAGAAAATTGAGTGATTTCACTCAATTGTTTTGGTCAGTTTTTTTATTATGCTGAATCATGCTTAAATATAAAATCATTAAGTAAGATGCAATACATGGACCCAACTTGTATGAAATCAGTTGAATAAATTAAGGGTTAAGTTATTATTAAGGGCATAGTTATTATTGAAAAAACACACCAAACATAACTGAGAAATACACGCAGAGACAACAGCAGCATAATAAAAAAAAGCATTAATAATACATAAGCATAATAATGCACAAGTGATTAAAGAATTAACAAAACAAAAAAAATCTGACTAGTTTCAACAGGCCAAGATATTCAAATCTAAAGGGATGGAACAGTTTTACTCCGTCTCTTGATTTTATTTGTTTGTAATTAAGCTCAAAGTTACACAATGGGCTATTTGTGCTCTGCCCACCATGAGTATCGAAACCCGCTTTCTAGCATTGCAAGTCAGCAGACATACTGCTGTGCCACTGGGGGGTGCAATTTCTTGAGAATGACAAACTTGGTCTGTTGAAACCCGTCATATTTCTATATTTTGTAAATTCTTTAGTCATTTGTGCATTATGTTCATGCATTATTATTATTGATTTTTTATGAATATGTACAAAGTACTTATTTAAACATCATAATAGATATTTTAAGATATACATTTTATAATCATATAAAGAATGTTTTATCTACCTGGCAGAGGGGCAAATAGTATATGTAGCAGCATTAAACCAAATACATTTTCATGACTGATGGCATTTTGGATTCTGTAAGAAGACAGTTAATTTATATGTAAATATGTATATATCCTCTATGTTTTAATATTGCAGTATCATTTTACTGCTTAACAGACAAGAAACTTTTAATATCAAGTAACAGAATTCAAAGAATTTATAATTATGATTTAATAACTTAACACAGGCAAAATATACAGTTTGAAACATGAATAAATGTTCTTATTAAGACAACAAAATAAATAAATAAATATTTATAATTTGCACAAATGACCTGAATAAAGCAATCTAAACTGCTTATTACTTAGCAGTGCTAACACTACAGATTTAAAAAATTAAACCTGAAATTCCAGTTGATCATTTATCAAAGTTTTTATTTGAATGTTCTGTGCACACGAAGGACTACAAATATATACATTGTTATAAAAATAGTTATGAAAACATAAAATAAACTTCAAACAAGAGAGTTTCCAGAAAACAAGAAATTAAAAATATAAACTATTTCTGATTCAGTATATTGAGAAACAACTGACTAGCTGTACCTTCATATTATCAATAAATTTGTTTCAGAAGTAAGAGGTGATGTGATATCATATTATTAAACTAAATGATTTAAAAAAAAAGTTATTTCATCCATAAACTAACAATGGCCTTCAAGTATTAATCATGTCAAAGTGTATTTTTGCAGCACTGTTCAATAAAATATATATATTTGACAATATGGCCAAAAATAATTCTTACATTACCAGTGCTTCTTGAATAAGACCTATCACAACTTACCTATGTATCAGTGGAAAAACTGACAAAGACAAATAGATCAGTGGATACCATTGGAGGGGTCTAATCTGTTGTCGAAGAACTTCCTTCATTTTATTGAATGAGAAAAAGGTACAACATATAACATATAGGAGCAACCCAACAACAGAACTTTATAGCTGTGAACCGTAAATGAATAAAAAACAGTACTATTTTACACTATAATAGCAGAAGTTACAAAAACATGTTAAGTACAATAGGAAAGCAACTTTTTACTGTAAAACTAATTCATATATGACATAATTTGTTATTTGTCACTTGTTGTATCAAGTAAAATATGTAATATGTGAATTTTCAAACCTGATAAGTTAGATCTACTTTTAACAATTATTTAATAAAGGAAATTTAGTTTTAATACTGATAATGGCAATTGCCAAGGGGGTGAAAAAAAGGGTGATAAAAAACTTGGGCTTTTCTGTCAGTTATTTTGAAAACCTATTAAACATATATAAACACATACTCAACTTAACATGAAGAACCTAAAAGTTCAGCTAATTGTTACTCACTTTTGTCCTTTCCAGTTCTGGGTTATAAAGACCTTCCCAGCTTTTTACCTGAAAAGGAAAATCCCATACAAGCCAAAAATTACATAAATTAAGTTTGGGTTAAACTGTACAAAGTTTCCATTATTTCCACTTTTTATATATTTAGTAGAGTGCCTAAGATTTAAAATATCATATAATAAATGCTGATGACAAAATGAAGGCAGAAAAGATCAAATCTAGAGCTGGGCAATTAGTGGTATATGCTAATTGATTAATTGTCGGGCTCATTAATGTGCTACATTCAAGTAATTGATTATTCCCAAGGAATCAGTGAAAAAAATAAATATATTTATATATATATATATAACATTACAAATCAGGTTTTGATACCCATGGTGGGTAGAACATAGATAGTCCATTATGTAGTTTTGTGCTTAACAAACAAAAAATCTAATGGCAACATTTCAGCTACTTGAATTATTAAAAAATATTGATAATCAGAAACCCTACTTTCAATTAGTTGATTATTTTTGTGAATCATGGTACTAATTGATTAAGTTAAACAAACTTGAATTAATCAAAAATAATAATGCAACTCATAGTGGCAATATTTCAATTACTAAATATTTGGAAAAACTGAAACAGTAGTAATTGTAAACACTAATTTCAATTAGTTGATTATTTTTGTGACATTAACTGATTATATCATGTGACACTAATTGATGCTCATAGGTAATCAATTAAATTGATTAATCAAGTTAATTGTCCAGCTCTTATCAAATCTACTATGATCTTTTTTAAATCTAAAGTTTGAATCATATAAAACAAAAACATAACGAAACAATAAGTTTTTTTCAGAGTAATTAACTTGACTATTACAGTAATGCTTATCTGATAAAATTCAAGATTCTACAAAAAAATAAAGACACTTAAATTACCACAAGTTCAATGAAAGAAAGACAATGCTTGCTTTCTTTAAAAAAAAAAGCATTTAAAACCACAGATAATCATTACTACTATTTTCAGAAAATCAATTCTATACTAATGCTGTGAAATTTTTAAGAAGCATTTCCATTCTTTTTAAGTGCTCAAATTACAATTATGAAATGGCTTCATTGTCATCTAATTACTATACATATATCTTCCCATTTTGTAAATCAAAATTATATGCTGTTTTAATACAAACAGAAAGTCACCTACAAATCTATTAATAAGAAATACTCTTTTTGCACATTACATGGGCCTAGATGTAAAAAGAAAAAAGTAAATTAAAACTAAAAACAAATTATACTCATCCAAAACTATCGGGATAAAAGGCTGAAATGAACAATATGTGAATATAGTTAATGCTATTATTAGTAGTGAAATGGGAATGAATATTTGTAATAAAGCATTGCTCCAGATAAGATGCATATCCAAGTAAGTTTTTCTAACATAAAAAATGCATTACAAATAATAATGGTGCATACTAAATAAGCTTACCATTTGCTGGTAGATATACCACTCATGTATATGTGGTATTTGTCAGTTTGAAAGATAGAAAAATCTGGATTGGTTATAAAACAAACAAAATACATAGGAGCTCATTCTTACTGTAAACTGATTGATGAGTTACTTTGATTTGTAGGATTTGGTGTTGTAAAGTCTTTTACCTCGAGTACTACAAATTGTTGCATTCCACCACTATATGGAGGCCTCTTTATCTTTTTGTTTGCTCTCCCAAGCAATACTGAAGAGTCATGATTCAGAAAAACTACAGTCTACTGCAGAAGGACCATTAAATTAGATAACAGATAATACCTCAAAATCAGTCACAAATTCTTTCTTTTCTTCACTGAAATTACAAGTTTTAGTGAGGAAAAGAAAAATTTCCAAATGAATTATACAGCAATTACCAGTAATTCAAGGTTATTACTGAACTGGAAATTATACCAGTCTAATTTTATTAACAAAGCACTTTACTGAACTTATGGTGTAATTGCTTCAAGTGGTTTTAATTGGAAGTTAATAGAGAAACAACTAGATCAAAAGCCTAGTAAACACAGACAAAATAGCACCAAAATTTATATATACTATTTATAACTGTTAAATTTTTCTTACAATAAACCATCCCCTTTCTTTACTCTAATCAAGTCAACTGTTTTAATCATTTCAGTCAATTTGTGGGGACAAAGGAGGGTTAATCCAATAACATGGAATAGGCTTTATTTAATTATTTCATGAATTCAACTGTTTGGAGTTACCAATAACACAAAGCAATGAAGATATATGAGGGGAAGCATTACAATATATTATACTATGATTAAGCCTCACTCCTATAGAGCTTTCTGGGGTGAAAAGACAGAATTCATACTCATTTTCCCATGTAGTGCAGCATATGTTAAACTTTTCAATATCCGAGACCAGATTGCTGCTATCCTAAACTGTTGTGGACCACTGAAATGCAAGTACAATAAAAATCATTATGATTTACATGTGAATCTTCTGCTTGTTTTTGTGTAAATTCCATAGACTTGCAAGTAGTTGTCATGGACTGGTGCCGGTCAGTGGTTGAGAAACAGATGTATTGCACGCTACAATGCAACTTGCGTTTGTTTTAATGAAAATAACAAACTTAGAACATAATCTTCAAAGATTTTTTACTTAAAGATGACATAAAAAACATATAAACATTTAACAATTACTCATGAATTATGCAAAAATAGGAAAAAAAATATTTATTACAATCTACATACCTTTCTTCTTAGATGTATTGTAAGATACAAGTAGCACACAAAAAGCAGACCAATGATCACAAACAGTGGCCCATACCAACTGTGGATAAAGAAGTAATTTATGAAACCCTTGATAAGAGTTTTCACACTATTCAATTATTTATGCTGAAAATTACTGTTGTCATAGAAACTAACAAAACATTTCCTTTAGTAACTTAAAGAATTTTGTGAAGTACTACAGTTTTGAAAATAAAATTTTATATCAGTAGCTTAGCTTCACACAAAGGAAAGTGGTTTTTACAGTCTAAAGAAAACATTTTTTTAAATAATAAGTGAAGCAGAAAGATTAAAACAAACAAGAAAGCACACTTATACTATTTAAAACAAATAAATTATAATTAGAATATATAATATTACAGTTATGGACAAGGCAATACTATTGGTAGAATAATTTCAACTCCCAGTTCATTTTTATGTAAATAAGACATCTGATTATTAGCCATGGGGTCTAAAATGCAAATGGTCATTCAACCTATGCTACATAAAATGGAATCACAGAATTCTGTTTCACTTGTTACTTTCAAGTGAATCATACAGAAGAATATGTTCCCAGTTTGTTAATGAACCATGGCTAGGCCTCAAAAAGGACATCTGAATGTTTCACTCATGTTGTGATTTGTCTATGTATCTTAATATGCCACTAGCATAATATGGAACCACTTCCAAACCAAAAGCCCATCTGCACGAATATGTGGACAGAGCAGACCATTATCCACATATAAGCAGACAATCACTTAAGTGTCAACCATAATTGTAGGGTACCTGCTCCATAACTGAACAACATATCTGCACTACAAATCAATGCTTAGACATTACGTAACCCCCCCCCCCTTCCCATCAAGGTAAAAAAAACTATTCACATACAATGGTGTCAAGACAACATTGAATAAACCAATGACATATGGAAGAATGTTTTATGTACATGCGTTTGAACAGGATCTGGTACCAGATCCTACTTCATTTTCATACAGGCATGTGACACACACAATGGTTATGGAAGTAAGGTTTGGTTAGTGATAAGCACTAGTGGATGAACTGATCTTTACATCCTGTAGAACAAGACAAGTGACCTGAGAAGTACAGTTAAATTAAGATGTTTAGAATTCTAGTTATCGTGCATAAAGTAGATGTCTTGAGATGTACAACATTACTGTTAAATCTCTTCCAAACATTTTTGGATGGGGAGAATAGAAATGCTGAAAGTGCGACTAATGTCATTTTATAACAACAATTTTGTTTTCTTGTAGCTAAATAATGTTAATTCCAAATATCTCTGAATTATTTTGTGAAGTATACATTGATAATGAATTTTGAAATAACATTTAATTCAATCTAAAATACTGAAGCAAACTGACAGGTAATTTTTGAAATTTCCATTGGCACACACACACAGAATTGAAAAATTAGATGAATTGTGATATTGTTGTAAATATGCTGAGTTACCTGTTCCTACATTTTACCTAATTTCTAAGTGGTGGTTTTCATTAAAGAAATACAAAAATTTGAAACACAAACTTACATGCCAAATCTCCAATAAGGGAACTGGGGTTGAATCCAGCTGAAATATTTTAATTAAGTTTCAACAATAAACAAATAAAATCTGAAAAAAATTAAAAGTAATAATCTTGAAAAATTCTGTATCTGATATATTTTGTTACATTCTTATTTTAAATGTATCATTACAGAAATGTCTTTAAATAATTTCAGCAAATGCTGATATATAATTTACAACTTTTGACAATGTTTCAAACACACTGGAAAAACTAAAGATATTGCATTTTAATGCACAAATTTTAGAGCACTTTCATGGATTTTTAGCAGTTCTGACTTGTACACAACCAATTGCTACCCTGTATCTTATCATTCATATACTTTTTTGTGTGAATTATATGTCAACTCTCTTGTTTTTACTGTTTTTTCAAAGTTATATGTCACACCACAATATATATACACATTTATATACTACTGCTATTAACCTTCAAGTATTTCAATGAAAAAAGTATACCTCACCACAACATATTTCATCTACACAAATGTTAGGTTTCAACAATATAGATATCTTTCTTAGATGATATATTCCATGTATATAACCTTTTTCAAGAAGAAATAGTGTGCTTTAAAATGTGCTTTATTATACTAAACTTACAATACAATTTAAGTTAAATACATAACATTCAAATACATACTGACCAGCTACTCTACTTACCTAGTTTTCATACTTTGTACAAAAAGTTCATTTTAAGACAGGTTATGCCTTATATTTACATTACATATACATATATATATATTTCATATACAGATACTGTAATGGAAATAACTATTGAAACATAGAAGCAATACATATGGGAGTCACAAACAACAAACAGCAGAAACTAGATGGTGAATTCATTATGCTTTACACACATTACAACTGTTTTCACGCTGGCATACAGTTTATCAATGTATGACTATGGAAAAGTATTGCAAGTGTGTTTTTACTAATCATATTTCACTTCGACAAATCAAAAAACTTAAAACTTATCAATTTAGTAAATATTTTCATTAATAATGCCTATTAATACATTGCTGACAAAAAAAGGTTTTGTTTAATAACTGATAAGTGACACTTTTTTAAAGAACAACTACAACTTATATAAAACAAATTATAAGTAAAAAAAAAAAAAGATATACTTACCACCAAGCTCCAGCATATCCATAACTATTATTGATAAATGGAAAGCATGATATCACTAATGGAATGCACCAACATATGACGTGATACAACCTATATTAAAAAATATGACTCAAACTGAATGAAGCTTAAGGTTGCATAATATATAAATAAACCCAATAATTCTAACAAGCAATGTTGTAAAAAATATAAGAGCAATGCAAACAATGTGTATAATTCATTACAGGAAAGAAATCTAAACATTTTGAAACTATACACCTTCTGTAAAAAAGTAAATCAAACATTAAAGTTAAAACGTTATATGCACTGAAACAATTATCTTTTTAAATGTTTATATCCGACATTATGCTTCGCAGTAATATTGTGAAAGAATAATTTGCTTTTTTATTCATTACTTTGTTTTTTCTCTGACTACATAGTAATTCAATTCAATTATAGTATTAATTGTTGGTGATACTATAATATATTAACTGGCAGATAAAGTGGTATCTTTCAGGGAAAAATAAACTTGAATTCAACAAATGGTAAAGTGCCAGGTAATGTTCACACATTACTTACCATTCAAAATGATCTGTTCTTCTCGTCAGGATTCCATTGAACAAAAGATTAACAGTGATACAGCATACCCACAAAAGTACAACCCATTCTAATCCAAGAAATTAAAAAAAAAGTGAAACCAATTACTGATACTCTGAAAATATTTTGATTATAGTATTTCAAAATTAATTAACATGTTCTATAAGGAGTTATATATATATATATATAATGAAACAAAAATTCTTCTCTCTCTCTTTTTTCTCAGCATAGCTATATAACCAACTTTAACATTTTCAGAAGTAATTTCTGATAACCATAAATCAATTATCTTTATATTTGTAAACTTCAAGTAAAAATTTCAGTTTTTTGTATGAGACATGGATCATAGTTTAAAACATCCAATATATATATATATATATATACATTAAGTTGAAGTGAACTGTAGGAAAAACAAACTGACAAATAATTTTTTTCCTACCCAGACATACACATGGAACATTTGTTGGATGGATTCACCCATGCCAGTTGCTTGAACTTTGTACAAAAGAATTTCCTTAAAACCACTTTTTAAGTGTTAATTACAACGACAAACACAAGTTTAGCCAAGTTTTCTTTAAAAACTCTTATAGATAAATGTTTTCTTGTACTGAACACATTCCAAATTGGCAAGTTCACTGTACTACAAAAAAGTATGTTTCTGACAGTATGCTTGTGTACCACAACTTTATAAATTAATTATAAACAGAAATAAAATTACAGTGATTGTTACAGTAGTAATTCATTAGTGCAATATTACAATATTTTTTAAAGTAAGTGCTATGGTATTTAAAAAATCTGTAGTAATTCTTAAGTACTTTTATGAATGCTTTTGAAGTAGAATGAAGTATTTTGATCAGTATTGCAATACTACTTCAGATTTCAGTATATTGCTGCAGTGAATTTTATTGTAATTTTTCTATTGTGTATTTTCATAATGGATGTTTATATCATGATTTCATGGCAATAAAGAGGATTCATTATTACCATAACTTATATATATATTAATATAAATATATGGATGTGTTGGGCTAAGGACTCTTCTACAGCAGGTGTCTGTGACTTGTTAGCAATAAGTTTGACAATGAACAAACAGCATACACTCCACTTGTTTTTAAAATAATATATATATTCAAAACAAGTTAAACTTGCATACAAAATTCTTTACACTATGGAGATCATAGTTGTATCTTAAACATTATATAGTTCTCTTTCATGTCAAAAGTCCACTTAGGCCAATTCAATTGCTTTAGAATTCAGTTGACAAGCCAAACTATTTTTATCTATTTCTATCACAATAGTATCTGTGTATAATTCACTTATGTAAGTTACCGCAGTTGTATCTTGAACTACCAATAATCGTCTGCTTTTCGTACTTCCAATACTGTCTACTCTTTGTACTTCCAATAAACATCTGCTTTTGTCAAAGTCCACACAGGCGGGTTCAATTAGTTTAGAACACCCTTTGACAAGACAAATTATTCTCCTTATCTCTTTCAAACTGTTAATTTTGCTCTAACATATCAACCATTAGGCCATTCACTCCCACAATGATTAACTTTACTTTTTCTAACTTTTCTCTGATCAAACTTTTCTTTTACGTGACTTTACTTTTACTCTCTGTCTCCGCTCATCTGGTCACAACTATTTATACAGCTATCACTTAGGCCTTCTAGAAATTTCCATAGCCTCAATATCAATAAATTTCAAGCACAACGTTCGATAGCCTCGACATCAATGAATTTCAAACACAAAATTAATTAATTAATACTACTGCATTAAACAATCTTTTATATCTGACACATATCATGCATTATATATCTTCTTATTTTAATAAAGAATTTTCTTAAAGTAGTCAGTTTTCATAGAGCATGTGGTCATGAAAGTCATTATGTTGTTTTCATTCTAGCCATCTTTGTTCTTTGTCATACCCTAGATATAACACCTGATCTGTTCATGAGGTTATGGCTGTAAAGCTGCACTTTCCATATGAATGTCAGCAGCAGTGTCCTCCAATGGCTTCCACTATCATTGAATGAGAAAGATCAGTCACGTGGATAGTGCTAGTTGCTCTGGGTAAATGTTGCATTACCATGTAATTGATTACTATAAGGTGGGTACTTAACCACCTTGAAAAAGTGCCATAAGCTGTGTGCTCACTTCCAACAGGACCACTAAATTCAGAATCCAAAATAAACATTCCTGCAGCTGAAGTCTTCTTAAGAACAACGACCAGCAGCACCACAACTGAACAGATACCAAAACTAGCCTCAACACCAAACTGTCTGCAGTGAGAAAGTTTGAAGCAATCGAGGGGAGCCTCCATTTCAATGGCAGTCGAGCCACTGATTCTGATGGAAACCCAAGAGTTACAACAAAGGCTCAACCTACCAATTACCCCAACTACTACAATCACTGTACAGCTCATCTTACAATAGATTTCACAGCTGAAGAAGCACTGCCTGGAGATAGCTGCAAAGTAGACCCAGGCATCAGACCTATACAACCAAGAGGAGAACCAGTTGCATTAGAAGAGCACATTGCTCTCTTGACTAGAAGAAGAAGCCTGTCCACTGTGTGGAGATGACACAGATGAGGAAAACCTTGGTTTGGGCCTGAGATATCACTTGTGTCACCATTGCATTCAGTTAAGTATTACTTTAAAAAGTTTGCTGATAGAGTTGCTGTTGAAGAGTATATTTGTATACTTTCTGTGTTGATGTAAACTGTATTTGTAGATGTTGTAAATTATAGGTATCTGCATTTTTTTCTCATAGTTTGTTTATCTATGGATGTAGGCATTATTTAGGGAATGATCATTGGACATTTCCAATGTTGTATATTTTGGTATCGTGTTTCGCATTTCTGATTTTGTGATTTACTGTAAAGAGTTTATTTCATTCGTTTTCTGTGTGTGTACTCTATTTTAGTTGTTCAGAGAAGATTACTGTATGTTTTACCATGTTGTGTACTTTTTATTTTATTTAATAGGCCTATGTAAATGTGTATACAATTCATTTTTTATGTAGGCTGGCTCACTTTGTGTTTATAATTATGCTGTCATTTTGTATTTTTTGACTATATATTTTTTGACTTTGTATGATTACATTTGTGATGCTATAGTTTTGTGTAATCATTGTTGAAAAAGCATTTTACAGTGTTACAATAATTGTGTGTGTTAAGTAATTTATTTTTTGTTGTTTCTGTAAACATTTAACTGATTTGTAATTGCAATTTGTTGACATTATCATAATATACTCACTATTAATTTCTTTTTAATTTTGTAATATATTGTGTGAAAATATATATTTATTTGGAAAAGCTAAAAACTAAAGAAGAGAACACATCATAAGGACGGATAGCATGAACGTTATGCAGCATATCCAAACCGTAGATGAAATATAATTAAATATAAATTCATGGGAGAAAAAAAAACACAGCCACAATACAAACATTCAACACCGAGGCACAAATCATAAGGTGGGTCATCATGTAATGTACCCTAGTTTTTAAGAGGTACTGGCAGAAGTAAGTCCCAAATTGCATTGGAGGTGCCCCATCTATCCAGTTTAACCTCAACTTTGCCCGTCTCACTCACATTATAAAGAAAAAAATTGAGCAGACAGCGAAAGGTGGTAAAGATGCACGTAACTGATGGTCGAACCCGTGTTTGGAGGCATCGTAACGCAGCTTACACTCCA